CAGCTCTGACTGGGGCAGGTGGCCAAGCCCCCACACCCTTGGCACCCCCAGTGGCCTCTCCCCACCCACCCCCAGAGAGCCCCGAAGCCTGGCTCCGTAACCCACAGCAGATTTCTGCCCAGCACTGGGGCGTCACATTCCTGCTCTTGGTTCCAAATTGAATTTCCTGGGGAATTGGAGCCTTCGGACCTAAATAAAACCAACCCAACCCAGCCCAACTGGCCAGCTCAAGCCCTCTCCAGTCCTCAGCCTCATAGCCTAGGACTGTGACCAGTGTGTCACAACTGTATATCAAGAGAGCCCACATTCTTGCCTTCTTGGAGTTCAGAGCCAGGTGCCACCCCCAATCCTCACCATCTCATTCTCGCTCCTTCCCTGACCTGGGCCATTCCAAGCTCCAGAGCTCAGTCCTCACTAACAGACATCTGCTGAGGACCCACGGAGGTGCAGAGATGAACGCTGACACTGCCCCAAACGAGTGAGCCAGGGAGGTGGCAGTGTGGTTGAGGAGCCAGGACTTCACTACCGAGTTATAATAAACAATAAGGGGTACTGAGTGCTAAGTTAAGAGGCCACTCAGGGGGGGACAGTTGGCTGGGGGGTGGTCAGGGAAGGCTCTCTAGAGGAAGAGGTAAAGTTGGAGCTGAGTTATGAAGGATGGGTTGGATTGGGGAGTGGGAGAAGGGAGGGGTAGGACCTCCTGGTCAAAAGGAACAATCTAAGCATGGGTGGATTGGTCAGAAGGCCTGGGGCCAGGTCAGTCTGCCTGTAACATGCGGTCCTTGTCCATGAATTAGGCTGAAGATCTAGACTGAAGCCTTGAATATCAGGCCAGGGAGAGACTGGAGTATGGGGTTCCAGTCACCACTTTCTGAGCAGATCAGATCCCGGCCCTCTCTTCATAGAGATGATCAGAGCTCCAAGGGATAAGCCCAGACCCACTGTCCACAAAGTCAATGGAGAAGGCTGGGTGTGAGGGATCAGGCACTAGAGCTGATCACTGTGGTCACTTTCCAGCCTTGGAGCAAACCCAGCCCACCTGGAAGGCCGCCCCATTTCTTTCAATCCAGGAGTACCCCTCAACTTGGTAGACAGCAGGAAGAGGGAGCCCACAGGGTCCCTGCTGAGATTGTGGGTCTCTCACCCTACCTTCCTGGGCTGATAGATTTAAACATGATTTTTTCACTCTCTTCTGGGCTGTGTTTCCGGAGCTTGGGGCATTGACCAGCATCTTGTCCTGTGTTAGCCGTGAAAGTATGTCGAGGCAAAGAGCTGTAGCCTTTCTGTATTTCCCGCTTGCAGATGGGGACCCTTGAGAGAGGTGCAGGGCTGGGGCTTCTGCTCAGAAATGCCACCAGCACATGTGGCCCTTTGTGCACATTAGAAAAGGTGGTCCTCTGGCCAGATACAGCAGGTATGCAGCTGGCTGAGCCGATGGCACCTCCAGGAGGTCAGGCCACAAAGAAGGTCTTCAGTCCCACCCCTGCCCCCCTTGCAGGTGCCTTTATGCAGAACATGAATTGCAATCCACATGGGGGCCCTTGGCCTTTGCCGGCCACCCTTTCCTCCAGCCCACTCTGCTGAGGGATGGGGGCATCTACCCTCTAGGGGGCATCCCTCTGGGCACTTTTCCTCACAGATATTCTCCCCTCGGCGGCTGGACAGTAGGGTCCCATGGTCATGAGAAGGAAAACTGGGCTCTTTACACCTCTTGATGGTTGAGCACTTGGGCTCTGCTTCGTGTCTGGTTGTTTTGCTCCATGTGCCCTGGCAAGAGCTGTTCTTGGTCTAGCATCTTGGCAGTGGGCCCTCTGGGCAGCATCTCACTTGCAGATCAGGTCTTCCCGCCACTTCTGTTCCTTCTCATTCTGCTCGCAGGTCTCTGGGCATCCCGCACAGTTTGCTCTCCTGCCCTCAGTGTGGCTCCCTCGGGTAGCTGCTGAGTTCCCTCTGCTGCCCCTCCTGAGCCCAGGACATGCTGTCCCTTTGTGTTTCCAGGTCAATATGCCTGAACTGGATTCCCTTTCCTGGTTCCCTTCTGAGAGGCCTGGTGCTCACCCTAGAATTCGGGTCATAGTCTGTGCTCTCTATAATCCCCTGTTCCCACCAGATTTGAGGTCACCAGCCCTCTAGGTGACTGTTAGAGGCTGCCCAGAGAGTGGTGACATGGAGAGAGGAAAGCAGAGATGGGGACCAGACTCCCTAACCCCTCTTTCTCACCTTCCTCCCTCCAACCCTGGCAGCCCAGAGAGCTACAATCTGGCTCCTTCTATTGNATAGTCTGTGCTCTCTATAATCCCCTGTTCCCACCAGATTTGAGGTCACCAGCCCTCTAGGTGACTGTTAGAGGCTGCCCAGAGAGTGGTGACATGGAGAGAGGAAAGCAGAGATGGGGACCAGACTCCCTAACCCCTCTTTCTCACCTTCTTCCCTCTCCAACCCTGGCAGCCCAGAGAGCTACAATCTGGCTCCTTCTATTGCAGGACTGACAGGGTTACCTGCATGTACCCTGTGACCTCAGGAGAAAGCCTAGGAAGCGGCCACCAGGCCCCAGCAATCCTTCTTGGTGTACCGGCCTCAGTATTGCAACATGCTGTCATTTCCCTCATTCCTGCTGCAGCTTTTCACCTTGGGGCCTTGGTTCCTGCTGTTCCTCTTGAAATGGCCTTTTCTGCTTCTTCGCTGACTTACTATTCAAGATCCAGTGTGGGCATTGCCTCCTCCAGTAGCATCCTAGTGCACGCGCATTTGCGCACACACCTGAAATAAGTGTCCATTTTCTGTGCTTCCACATTTCCTCAAGATCTTCCTACTGTCACTCTCAACCCTTAGTGTGTGACTACCCCCCACTCCACCCTGAAGAAGAAGAACTGAAGCAATGACCTGTCTTTCTCATTTGGTCTACCCAGTGCTTGACATACAACAGGTGCATTGTAGCTACTTAATAAATGTTAAACCAACCAGCACAGAGAGAAGGAAG